TGCCTTTAAAGTGCACTTTATAAAGAGTTTTGAACAGATAAAAGACTTTTTGTTTACTTTTTTCTGACCTTCGGAACGGATTAATTGGTTTTCAAAGCATTCCTATGGGAAACCGCATTTCAGTTTACGAATTTTTCGCAATACGAAAAGTCCCGCAGAACGAATGAAATTCGTCAACCTAGGTACGCCTGTAAATCCCAAATGGACAAAACAGTGTAGCGCAACCACATAAAACAATCATGTGAATAAACATGTAAATAAATAAATTGTCCATCTATTCTCCAAGTGATAAACAAATGTCCCAAAAATTCCACATCATGTGAAAAGCTCTTCTACATCTTCGTGTAAACACACCATTGGTGCTTCAACTCCCACCACATGAACTGGCCACTCACCTCAGTGACTTCAGAAGTAAAGAAAATTTTTTAGCAGTATAGAAGAAACTACGAGTGGATGAAAACATTTATTGGATCAAAAGTCTCTCCCTTAAAGAGAAAGCGCTTATGACTTACTGTTAGTGCAGTATTCATTAAACTGAGGTGAGTGGCCAATTTGTGTGGTGGCGGTTGAAGCACCACTGGTGTGTTTACACGAAGATCTAGAAGAGCTTTTTCACATGATGTGGAATTTTTGGGACATTTGTTTATCACTTGGAGAATAGATGGACAATTTATTTATTCACATGATTGTTTTATGTGGTTATGCTACACTATTATGTCTTCATCACATCACGACTTGATTACTGTAACTCCCTCCTCACTGGCCTGCCTCGCCGCTGGCTATCCCCGCTTCAGTCCATCCTGAATACGGCTGCCAGACTCATTCACCTTTCCAACCGCTCCATCTCCGTCACCCCCCTCTGCCAATCCCTCCACTGGCTTCCGATTGCGCAACGGATCAAATTCAAAATCCTAACACTGATGTACAAAGCCGTCCACCATACTGCCCCAAATGACATCACCGACCTAATATCCAAGTACTGCCCAGCACGCACACTCCGCTCCTCACAAGACCTCCTTCTCTCTAGTTCCCTGGTCTCCTCCTCCCATGCCCGCCTCCAGGACTTCTCCAGGGTGTCACCCATCCTCTGGAACTCCCTGCCCCAACCCATCAGATTATCACCTACTCTCCTCTCCTTTAGGCGCACCCTGAAAACCCATCTCTTCAGGGAAGCCTACCCCACCCCCTGCTAACTTGCCAACCTCCTCCACTCTTCCTACCACCCCATCCCCCACAGCTATCTCCTCCTGTGCTACCATCCCCTCCCTCCTAGATTGTAAGCTCGAAAGAGCAGGGCCCTCGATCCCCTCATGTTTTGCATTGTATTGTTGTTGTTCTGTCACATGTTCTGTCCCCCTTTGTAATGTACAGCGCTGAGCGAACTATCAACGCTTTATAAATACTGTATAATAATAATAATTTGTTATGGCTATAGAAGACCATACAAGTGCTATGGGGCCCAGAAGCCCTGTTTTGCTATACTTGCTCTACAAGTGAGTAGGGATAACATCTGGCAAATGCATTTGGAAAATAAATCGATGTATACTTAGTTAGGGAATCTCTGTTTTCTGCTATACAAGAAATTAATATTCAGTATTACTGAAGGAAATGACTTTGAGAAGGGGATTAGAAAGGAAGGAGGGCCCTCAATGATTTTACTATGTAGACAGATACAGCCTTGGCTGTGAATCACCTTTGTTGTCGATTTGTGCCAGAGCTGGAAAGCTCATCTGTTAAAAAACTGGCCTGTAGATCAAGCCCCAACTGCTAACTGGGGTTGTTGCCAGCGGCAGCTGTGACGGGGAGAGGCCGGTGCTGTTTATGACACGCGTAAATACCATGAGACAATCTGTGTGATTCCTTCATATGGCATGCCTAAATGTAGAGGACAACGCAGCTGAGACAGAGATGGGGAGTGACACCGGGATCGGTCACACTGCTGTCTGCCCAAAATAAATGTTTGTGTTATTGGCAAGGTAAAATGTCACTGTGACTTACTTAAAGCAGCCAGTATATAAAGGGGATGGAAAAAAAAATGGAAACCTACCAAAACAATGAGCATTTAAGTGAAGACATACAGGTTGATGGCTAGGTAGCAGAATGTATAAGCTCTAAATGAAGTGTGTCCAGGGGCGGACTGACAACTCATGGGGCCCCGGGGCAATAGGGGATCATGGGGCCAGTTTATAAAGGGGATGGAAAAAAATAATGGAAACCTACCAAAACAATGAGCTTTTAAGTGAAGACATACAGGTTGATGGCTAGGTAGCAGAATGTGTAAGCTCTAAATGAGGTGTGTCCAGGGGCGGACTGACAACTCATGGGGCCCCCGGGAAATAGGGGATCATGGGGCCAGTATATAATGGGGATGGAAAAAAATAATGGAAACCTACCAAAACAATGAGCTTTTAAGTGAAGACATACAGGTTGATGGCTAGGTAGCAGAATGTGTAAGCTCTAAATGAAGTGTGTCCAGGGGCGGACTGACAACTCATGGGGCCCCCGGGCAATAGGGGATCATGGGGCCAGTATATAAAGGGGATGGAAAAAAATAATGGAAACCTACCAAAACAATGAGCTTTTAAGTGAAGACATACAGGTTGATGGCTAGGTAGCAGAATGTGTAAGCTCTAAATGAAGTGTGTCCAGGGGCGGACTGACAACTCATGGGGCCCCAGGGCAATAGGGGATCATGGGGCCAGTATATAAAGGGGATGGAAAAAAATAATGGAAACCTACCAAAACAATGAGCTTTTAAGTGAAGACATACAGGTTGATGGCTAGGTAGCAGAATGTGTAAGCTCTAAATGAGGTGTGTCCAGGGGCGGACTGACAACTCATGGGGCCCCCGGGAAATAGGGGATCATGGGGCCAGTATATAATGGGGATGGAAAAAAATAATGGAAACCTACCAAAACAATGAGCTTTTAAGTGAAGACATACAGGTTGATGGCTAGGTAGCAGAATGTGTAAGCTCTAAATGAAGTGTGTCCAGGGGCGGACTGACAACTCATGGGGCCCCCGGGCAATAGGGGATCATGGGGCCCCTGTGTCCTTGCCCACACTCAAAAAAGCCTATAAAAAAGGTACCAGGGGCATCTCATGGGGCTCCCTACTGACCCCGGGCCCGAGTGCACGAATGGTCAGTCCGTGCCTGAGTTTGTCTATTAACATATTGATATGCAAGCAACATGGGGCATCTAACAGAGTTCCAAAGAGGGTAGACAGTCATTGACCACCCTTCTTTTATTTGTTTTAGATATAATGGTGCAGGGTTAAGTCATGGTGTTATTGGTGGGAATTAGGTAGCTGGTGCTGGAACCTAGATCTAGAAATAGATGATAATCTTGTGTTCAGATTGCTGTTATTGTAATGTTAGTATGACCCCTGTGCAGCATCCCATTGGTAGGTAGGCTGCGTCTGCAAACCGAGGGGTCATCACTGTAATAGTCGGTTCTGTAGGCAAAACTCTGAACTGGAGATTGAAGTTCCACACCATAAAATAATATCCAGAAAGTGGTTTATTAGCTTAGTGTGGTCATTACCATGTTTGCTTGAAATTGCCCCCCTTCATCAGGACTTAAAAAATGTAGGGTTGACAATCTGGAAATACTGGGGTATCTGATGAAGTAGTTGGTGTACAGTCAGGTACATAAATATTGGGACATGGACACAATTCTAATATTCTTGGCTCTATACACCACCACAATGGATTTGAAATGAAACAAACAAGATGTGCTTTAACTGCAGACTTTTGGTCCCTTAACAAGTGGGAGGCACATATGCAAACTGTTGTAATTCCTACACTGTTCACCTGATTTGGATGTAAATACCCTCAAATTAAAGCTGACAGTCTGCAGTTAAAGCACACCTTGTTCGTTTCATTTCAAATCCATTGTGGTGGTGTATAGAGCCAAAAATTTTAGAATTGTGTCGATGTCCCAATATTTATGGACCTGACTGTATGTGTTCATATAGTGCAACACAGTACTGGTTTCTAAAATGGCTATGGTCTTATGGGTGTCTCTTTTCATTAAACAGAGGTGTCCTGTTGTCTTCCATCCATTATTTCCTGTTGTGGTGGCCCAGCAGAAGATACCAGGCAAGACTCCAACGGAAACAAAAACTTGAGGGAGAATGCAAATTTTCCCCAATCTGAATAAAAAGGGCCTTCATTGCTCTTTGCATGCCTGCTGAATAGATTCTTCTTACTTCCTGTGCCTGTGACACAACAGGAAGTGAAGGGTAGTGTCTCCAGTGGGGAAACTAAAAAAAAGGGTGTGACAGGAACACAACTTTAAAGTAAATTGAACAATTTTGCAAACCAATTTTTTATATCTTTTTTTATTTTACAAATGACTACATAGGACAGGGTTCACTCATGCAGTCATTGTAATCTGATCTTCCTGTTTAAACCCCCTTATCATGCATCTAATAGAAAGGGAGCGGAACTGGTGAGGCACTGCCCATAGATGGGAACATGGTGGGCTAAGCTACTAAGTGACTGGTGGGAGAAGGCACAGAGCAAGCTGAACTGCTGCATCACTGTGGGGGGGGGGGGAGAAGCTGATCTGTGTTGTCACTGCTTGGAGTGGGCAAGCAGGGTTAGCTGACCTTCTGAAAGAAAAACTTTGCTTTTTGAACTCTGAGAATGAATTGCTCAACACTGCCTATAGCTACAAAGGCCAGTGAGGGCTTGTTTTATATCTCAGTCTATGGACATAGCTTGGATACAGATTCACTTTAGGATACACTGTTCTTTTTTTTCATTTCCTTTATATTAGCATTTGAAAATAAACAATGTAATAAAAAAGGACAGGAGATTTGACTCCCCATGGTCCTGACAAAGGCAAGCAAAGGGACACACCCGGCCCCCAGGCGGCAGTTTGGAGACCTCTGCTTGAAAAGATGGATATTTGAAAGCCATCTATTTTATTAATGCAACATTTGTTAATATAATGAAGCAGCATAAAAGCGGCAAGCATCCCACAGAGCATTACCTATAATTCCTGTGTAAGCCATCAGGCAAGCAGCATAATTTTCCTGCGCACACCCAGTCACAGAGTGCGGTGAAGGCTGGCAATCTAACTGGAACGCTGCTAGCCGGGACCTGAAAAAAAAAGTTGACAGTGTTAGTAGGGCCTTTATGAATTACTAGAGCTTTTGACAAATATGTTATTGCTGTAAGGAATACACTTGACCATCACAGCTATATGAGTTTGTTGGACATCCTATTTCAAAACCATAGTCATTATTATGGAGTTGCCTTCCCCTGTTTGGTGCTGTACCAGCCCCCACTCTTTTACAAAGCTTTCCCACAAGATTTTGGAGAATGTCTGCGGGTATTTCTACCCATTTAACTACAGTGGGGAAAATAATCTCATCATTAGGTGAGAAAAGGTGCTTAACTTCCTCTTCAGAGGGAAGCTGGAGGTAGCTGGAGGACTACCCACATTTGGTAGAGTAGGGCACGTAGGTTGTAGTTATCCTGGTTAGTCACTAGATGCCCTTAGAAGTGGCAAGTGAGATTCAACCTAAAAGTTGGTTGAGTTAGGTGCCAGCCATGCCTATTAGCAGATGTGCGCCCTGGGTGAGGGTATATTAGGAAGGTGTAGAACTTCCTGTGGTGGGTGGCAGCATATATGTATGTAGGCGGGAATGCAAAATTGTTTAGCTTACCATTAAGGAGGGAGCTGGAGACAATTGGAGGACCACTCGCATTTCTCTACTATGGACACCCCTCTTGTAGGTGAAGGCCTCGTGTCTTGCCTCTGCCCTATGGTATGGGCTATGGTATTTTTGACTTTCATAATTAACTTTGTGCTCTTTGTACATTGGTATGATACTGTTCGAAACTGTATATTATATGCTGCTGCCCATCTGGTAGGCTGACCTGTACTCTGCATTCATTAATTTAGTAAAGAGTCAACTTGTGTGGGCTACTCCTTCCTCTAACGGTCCTATGCACTGGGGTCACAGCGAGGTCCATTGCCTGCTAATCCTGGGACAGGTACGAAAGGACACTGGGGACTATCGCCCTGCAGTCATTCCCTAAGTAATCAGCACTTGGATCCTGGGCTTGTTCATGGGCTTGGGGGGAATGGGTTAGCCCATTAAAATACATTCCAAAAGTGGGATGTTTGGAGTTATGAATTATTGCCAGCTCTACACAAAGTGGTTTAATAAAGTGAGGCAGGAGGACTCAGGCCAGAAAGCAATGATTGAAATGCTGGAATGTGTGGACGCCACAATCCCGTATACGATAGATGTAGGAGAAAACGGCCTGCTGTATCTTTTACTAGCATGGAACACATTGGGCTTTAAGTAATAACCTCGTAGCCAGGCCATGCATCTTGTAAGGGAGCAATACATCTTGTTCTATAGAGGAATGCAGCGTGCAATGACAATTTCTAAATGTACCAGTAAATTTATTGCTCTGGTTGTTGATGCATAGCTGTAACTGCAGCAGATAAACCACCGGCTGTTTTATAACTGTGATTCCCATAAAGAACTATCTCAGCCCCAAAGGCTCCACTTGCAAAATCCGAACGGACGACTCGTGTCTCGATGAACATTTTAGAGTGTTCTGTATCCAGCCCTAATAAAATTTTGAAGAGATAGCTTCTTCTTTTCAACTAGTTCCCGTCCGGGCCAATTGTGACATTTCTTTCATACACAGAACAATTAGCATTTTTTTGATACAAAATTACGTAGAACGCCGTGCCTGTGCTTCACGCAAAAAAAAAAAAGTGCACGCACCTTTTCAAAAATGCATGGTCTTTTTTTGACCAATGGGATGTCCCTGCATTTCCCACACCTACAATCGCACTGCGGGCTGAGGTGTGTGGAGGTACCATGTAGAATGAATAGCAGCCCCCTATGTGTCTCACAAGAGCAGCGCGATTCGACTGCAGGTGGTTGCTGGTGCGGGAACAGGTGCGATTCCAGCACCCACGAGCTAGTGTGAACCAGGGCTAAAGAAGATTTTTTAGAAAAATGTATTAACAAATATGTATTTAAAGTGACACTAAAATGTTCTCTCTCTATGGTCCCAATGTATGTAGGAATGTATGTAGGAATGTGGCCACCCTCTTTTGCTCATTCCCGAGATGGATTATGGGATATGTAGTGTGCATGACCACAACTAACATTCACTGCTCATTTCAAACAAAAGGTAATGAGGGGGATAAGGAGAGGTTTCAGTAGCTCACAGAGGAATTTACAAGGATGCTGAAAAACACATTAACAAATAATTTAATTAAGAATAGGTTAAGAAAAGTGTTACTAAACCTTGGACGCTGCATTCACTATATCCGGTCTCCCCGGACCCTGCATTCACTATATCTGATCTCCCCGAACCGTGCATTCACTATATCTGGTCTCCCCGGACCCTGCATTCACTATATCTGGTCTCCTCGGACCCTGCATTCACTATATCTGGTCTCCCCAGACCCTGCATTCACTATATCTGGTCTCCTCGGACCCTGCATTCACTATATCTGGTCTCCTCGGACCCTGCATTCACTATATCTGGTCTCCCAGGACCCTGCATTCACTATATCTGGTCTCCCCAGACCCTGCATTCACTATATCTGGTCTCCCAGGACCCTGCATTCACTATATCCGGTCTCCCCGGACCCTGCATTCACTATATTTGGTCTCCCAGGACCCTGCTTTCACTATATCCGGTCTCCCAGGACCCTGCATTCACTATATCTGGTCTCTTAGGACCCTGCATTCACTATATCTGGTCTCCCACAGTACACAGAACATGGAAATACAAATAATTTAGTAAATATAAACTGCTAAAAACCTTTTTTCATCAGCAGTCTTGTGACTTCGATCAGTGTCCAGCAGAGTACTGGTTAAAGCTTATAGGAGTTGTAATTCTCCCTGATTGTCCTATGAGGCTGTAGGACCACTGTCTGGAAAGTGCTGATTGGCTCTGTACTATCAGCAGAAGGATCGGGGACAGTAGAAGAAGGCAAGGATAAGAGAAGATAGGATCAAACAGAGTTTTTACACCATGCAGAGGATTAACCCCTTAGGTTCCACAGTGAGTATAACAAGCATGCTTTACTGCATATACAGACTGATTGTACTGTTGTGGGTTTAGTAACACTTTAAGTAGTGGATGTGTATGTATTAGGATTTGAGAATAAGGGGATTGTTTAGTATAGCTTCAAAATTGTTACAGATATTGGTTACACGGGGAATGGATTTGTTACATTTGTTCTTTGCTGTGATCACACATTCACTGTTTAAAAATATATTCCTGAGCCACAGACACGATCTCAGAGGAAGGACCTCTGGTCTGAGAGATGAGAGGATAGAGAAAGTGATTTATAGATTTTTGGTGTATGCACCGGTGAGCTTGTTAGGCCGCTGTCGGGACAGAGATATATAAACTTTCTTAATGGGGTTTTCGGGCGAGTGAGTCGGAAGCCGGGGATAAAACAAGCCGGCTCTACGAACTTTGTTTCCTATAGGAGCTTTGTCTTCCATAAATATTTGTAGCTTTTGGCTCAGTAAACATGAATACAGTCAGTGTTTCTGTGCCCAGGGCCCCGGGAAACTAGAGACCTTGTCTCATCAGCGTCAGGATCGCCATGCATGTAGACAGGGCCCAACCAGTGTACCCGAGAAAAAACACATGTGGAAACGTAACCGCTTCAATACCGAACACTTTCACCCAGGGGCGGACTTACAACTCATGGGGCCCATGGGCAATAGGGGATCATGGGGCCCCTGTGTCCCTGCCCTAACTCAAAAAAGCCTATGAAAAAGGTACCAGGGGCATCTCATGGGCCCCCTACTGACCCGGGCCCTCGGGCAGTGCCTGAGTTTCCAAATGGTCAGTCCACCCCTGTATGTTCACTACATGCAGGTTCTACTTCCTTCATGTGCCCTGTCTGCAACTATACCCCATTGACACTGCACCTGCTCCATTTGTATGTTACATATCTCCCTCCCCATGCTGCATGCTGGTTTATTAAGACTGTCACTATGTTCACCAATGCTTCTTAAAGGGCCCTAACAAAAGTCGGGAGAAGTTTTTTCTTAAGTTTTTGTTATAAAATTTTGTAAATAAGTGACTTTTATCCTTCACTGATGTGCGCTAATGAGGCTGCATTGATGGGCACTGATAGGCTGCACTGATGGGTACTGACAGGTGGCACTGATGGGCACTGAGGAGGAGGCACTGGTAGGTGGCACTGATGGGCATTGACAGGCATCACTGATGGGCACTGAAAGGCAGCACTCATACTGTATATGGCACTGATAGGCAGCACTGACAGGTGGCGCTGATAGGCGGTACTGACTGGCACTGATAGGTGGCACTGATAGGAGCACTGACTGGCACTGATAGACGACACTGACTGGCACTGATAGGCAGCTCAGATGGGCACTGATATGTGGCATTGATGTGGCATTGATGAGCACTGGCAGCTTGCATTGATATGCACTGACAGGTGGCACTGCTGGGGCTACACTGATCATCAGGGCACACTGATCATCATTGCCCTGATGATCAGTGTACATGTTCCCTCTGAGGAATGCCGATTACCGGCTCTCCTCTCCTCTGTCAGCGTGACAGCTCGTGGGGAGAGAAATGCCGATAACCGGCATTTCCTTATTTACATGTGATCAGCTGTGATTGGACACAGCGGATCACATGACCGAGCCGACCTTTTCGGCTCTTTCCGTTGATCAGTGATCCACTGTGTCTGAGGGACACAGTGCACCACCGATTGCCGCGCTGCGCGCCCCCCGTAGCATCAGAGTGGGAGGGCGTCATTTGACGTCCTCCCAGAACGAGAGTACCGCCTTGCGCCCATCATTACCTTATATGGTGGACGGGAGGCGGTTAATCACCGCTGGGTTTAAAGAAAACGTTTTTGCTATATCAACAGAAAAATAACTGAAAATTTTGAAAAAAATAAACCTCTAAACATTTTTCTTAGTTTCTGTTATAAAATTTAGTGAGTAAATAATCTTTACTGACAGCCTATGTCATTTCTTGAGACCCTAAAATGCCAGAACAGTACACACAGGGGCGGACTGACCAGTTGGAAACTCGGGCACTGCTCGAGGGCCCGGGGTCAGTAG